GGAAAGAGAACTCATGACGCTGATCGTGGAGATCGAGGGTGTATTGAATACCCGGCTGTTGACTTATGGTACCTTCGATCGTAAGCCAAGAGAGGAAGAAATTGTATTAGTGGATGAACCGGAAACTCTTCGAGGCTTGTGGAAGTTGGCAAGGATAAAAGAACTCAAAAGGGGTAGAGACGGAGTGACAAGAAGCGCAGTGACAAGAAGCGCTGACCACAAAGTGTATAATATGGGAGCATCAAAGTAGAGCAATTAAGACTCTCTACAAAAGAGTGCATTCTCTTGGTGATATATTTACATATCATACTAAACAGAATAATTTGTCGGAGAAAGGGAGTATTATGGACACATTCTGTTTTCATCAATTTTAATTTTCTTCTTTTTCTTTTTTAATTTGGTTTATTGAGCTATTGAATTTTCATCCAGAATACAAATGAAATTGGATTGGAAAGCAAAATGTAAGGTATTTGATGATTGACATTTGCAGTATGCATGCATCGTTGTGGCTAATTTGAAGTAAATTAGAATATAAAATTTCGTGCATTAGTGACAGTCCCATTAAGTCCTTCTGAATAATTGCTGATACCGAAACAAGGAATACTCCACAGACTATCATTAATATTACATAAATGATCCGAAAAGCGGAAATTGTCTGATGCTTTCCAAAATGAACTGGCTTGCAGCTATGTAGATTACTAGGTGTAAAATTTAAATTTAGTACTGTTTAAATGCCATTTTAAAATATACTTGCCTGCCACTGAAACAACCAACAAAAATTAAGATTTATTAAAAGATTGGAAGTATTTCGAGGACTATTCCCGGCTCTATCACCAAACGAGACTGTGAGAGATTAAGGAAGTTGTACGGAAGAATGCGGACATAGATTATTAGCCTGTTTTAGATCTCTCAAAGTCACGTTTCGCTATCATGATCAGAAGAATGATATTTGCATATTTGCAGGGATATTTTTTGTGGGATGTTACTTAGGAAGGAAATATTATATACGGTTGATGTAAGGCTTGAGGCTTATTTTAGGTGAACTGGGATAACGTTATAAGCTTTTTGTAATGGTTGATTAATAGTGTAACTGCCAGGAATTTTTTATACTTTATAAATATTTGATAAATTTGTTGATTTTGCAGAATGCTTACGAATCCGGGAAATCCCGATATCGCAAATCCTTTGGATTTTTTAAAAAGGGAGTCAGTAATGCTCCAAACCTTCCAGGGATTTGTGAGCGAGACAGTCGAGGTACCTCATCTTTTTCTCTTCTTTTTTTTCCTCCCTTTTTTCTTCAGTCATTAATTGATTGCAGTGTCAATTAAGAGTTGTAAAAAGCGCCTCAATTTTAAAATAAGACTGTAAAACGAAATCTTTTCAGTTTGAAACCTCGCTCATAACCTGCTTGGAGGAAGCGGAGAAGAGGTTGGTGGAATACGCAGGGCGAAATACCCATGATGAAATGGACGAGGGACTGGCACATCAGGAGCCGGAATTTAACGAAGAGACAGAGTGGGCTGCTCTGCCTGAAGAAGATGATGAGACCGAGAATTGGCCATCGGGATCTGAGTGGACCCCTCTGTCAGACGATGAAGAAGATGAACCTGAGGTGACGGTGATACGAATGGAGACGAGTGGCGTTGAGGAACCGGAAGAAACAATCCGAGAAATCGTCTTGTCAGTCTTACTGTAATGTATAGGAAAAAGACTAAATAAAGCAGTCTTAAATTTTGCTCATCACATAAAAACAGATAGATCTGACTAGATTTAAATATATTTCAGGAGACCAAGGACGATCAGATTCCTGGTTCCAGCCACACATACAACGTTGGCTGCGGCGATCCCGGAAGTATTTCTCCAGAAGATCTAGGGGATCTTCCGGAACAATTCCAAGGAGAATTGGAAGTGGCGCAGGCGGAGCCGTACATGGTGGTGCAAAGAGAAGGAAATATCAACATTGGTAATCTATAATTATTTTTTTTTAAATAACATTGAAAATGATTATGTGCCTGTAATCTAGATAAAATGCGCCATATTTTTAACTTGCTAACACTTTAACCACAGAAATTAAGCAAAACAGTGAATACTGAGACTGATGGACAGTCTGCAGTCTGTTCAAATGATTTTTTACTTTGACAATCATAGCAAATAATAGTTTTGTACTTTCAGTGTGCGGTATCTGCGACAGGCACTTTGATAACTGAAAGGGTGGTGAATCCACGCATCGAAGATACACAAGCAGGATGATAAGTACTTCTAAATGGGATTTTCAATTAGTTTTTGAATATGTTAGTACATTTGATCCAAACGCTCATTAATGATATATATTCCAGGCTTCTGTTGTCGATGCGGCCATTACCTCCTGCTGCCACCCGGATTCACGGCCGCACAGAAAACAGCAGCGGTGGAACATTATGCCCTCGATTGGTGTCCGAGGGCATATGCGGCCGTGATCAACGAAAGACAGGTAAAGCGTCGGTAAAGCCTCGATTTTTTGGGGAGAGAAGAGAGTGCCCACCACCTCTTCATTCCAGATGAGAAATTTTCCAACAAATTTATGAAGTAAATTCTGTTTAAATAAGGAACAAAGTTCGGATAGCTACATAAAGCGAGAAATTTGCGAAGTCGACTTTGCAACATTTCTAATAAATGAATTTTTTTTTCAGGCCAATAATGCCATTTGGCATTCCACAAGCGGCCAGCCTGCCACTGCCTGTTCCAGTTCTCCATCGCCTATCCAGAGAAGGCACCAAACAGGTTAGTAAATCACAAAAAAAAAAAGAAAAATTAAAGATCGAAAAATAAAAAAAACAAAAAATTGAAAAATAAATAACGAAAAAAAACAAAAAAAAAGGAATTATTAAAACTAAAAAAGGATTAAAATAAAAAACCACAAAAAACGACAAAAAAATCGAAAAAAAATAATAAAAGCAAAAAGAAAAAAAGAAAGAAAGGAAAATGATAAAAATCAAAAAAAGAAAAAATATCGAAACGAGAAAAAATGTTATCAATTTTTTGAAGTAACCTTGAATGTTAAAGCAATTGAATTCTACTTATGTATAATAAGGGATT